TTTTTAAAAAGATGTTGGATAACCATTGGCCTGAAGTGGTGTAGGTTTTCCTGCCTAGGAATAGGTTGACTACAGATCCCAGAGTTCCCACATCAGGGAGAATTCTGGGATTGGAAAGTCCGCATATCGGGAGGTTGGAAAAAGCTATTTGGGGACACGGGAGCTCCCCTTTCTGGGATTCTGTGATGGTTTATGGCTGCATCCCATTTTCTTCCTCACAGGGCGGAGTTGACAGTGAGATCACTTTGTCAGCCTACCTCACCATAAGTTTGCTGGAGATTCCCTTGCCTGTCACGGTAAGACGCCGTCTTTCACCTTCCACAGACTCCAATTTAGCCACTGAGCGCTCAAGAAAGTTTCCCCTGAAGCTGATTGGCCTCTGAGCATAATAAAAGTCAAGATGCTCTCAGTTGAGTTTCCTTGACTGGATCCCAGTGTCAGTTCCACAATCACCATTTTTTTTTAAACCACATTCCATTTGTTTTTCCCCCATCTTTGCCTAAAACATGAATGGTCATTTACACAATTACCACAGAATTTATCTACCACGCTATGTTACACAAAGCCTACTTATACAGGTAATCCTTGACTTACAACCACAACTGAGTCTAACATTTGTGTGCCGCCGGGGCTCACAGCAGTCCAAATTTCACCAACCCCACACAAATGGCCGAGATAGCAACAGATACAGATATACCGCTTCACACTGCTTTACAGCCCAAGGGGTTGACAGAGCCAGCCTATTGCCCCACAACCATCTGGGTCCTCATTTTACGGACCTCAGAAGGATGGAAGCCCGAGTCAACCTTGAGCCTGGTGAGAATCGAACTGCTGAACCGCTGGCGGTGAAATTAGCCTGCAATACTGCATTCTAAGCACTGCGCCACCACGGCTCTAGATCAGAACTGGGCCATGGCACGCCAGAAACTGGGCCACACAAATGAGCGAAGCCCCATCCGCGTACACACGCAAGATGCAGGTGGCGCACAAAACCACGCCCCCATTTGGTCGATGGGAAAAACCGTCTCCACGGAATGGGTTCCTGGGCGGGGGGGGCCCAAGTGTTTTTTTTTGGGGGGGGGGGGGTTGGTGCTGCTCTAGATGAACTTCCTTCTTTCTCCCTGCAGCATTCTGTCGTGCGAAACGCTTTGTTTTGCCTGGAGACGGCGTCCCAGCAGAAAGACCTGCCTGTCTACACCCAGGCCTTGTTGGGGTACGCTTTCGCTTTGGCCCACAAAGAGGACAAAGTGGCGGCAATACTGCAGAGCCTTCAGGAAAAGGCCGTGAAAGGAGGTGAGGGAAACGCCGGTGGGAGAAGTGAGTGGTTTTACTGCGAGGACCACCAGCCCAAGAGGTGGTCCAAGAGGAACGTTTGCCCAGGGATGGGCTTCCAAAATTTTAGCCCAGTGGCTGGGCGGGCGTGGCCTAGTCGGCCTCCTGCACAGTGGTGGAGCTCAAACATTTTTACTACCAGTTCTGTGGGCGCGGATGGTTGGGCATGGCAGGGGAAGGATACTGCAAAATCTCCATTCCCTCCTCACCCCACTAACCTGCTTTTCCAGCTCCGTTCTCCTGCGCAGAGCAACCAAAGAACACTCAGCCAATCAGCTGGAAGGCAGAGAATAGATGGGGGCGGGGCCAGTCAGAAGTGGGATTTGCCGGTTCTCCGAACTACTCAACATTTCCACTACCGGTTCTCTAGAACCAGTCAGAACCTGCTGAATACCACCTCTGCTCCTGCACCACAGTGGGGAGGGGGCTTTGCGCCCTCCCTGGGCCCTCCGGAGGCTTTCCTCGAGCCTCCGGGAGGACGAAAACGGCCTCCGCGGGCTCCAGAGGCTCTCTGGAAGCTGGAAACAGGCCCATTTCTGGCCTTCCTAAACTTGCGGGAGGCCTGTTTTTCACCCTCCCCGAACCTCCACGTGCGCCCTGCACTTAACCTGCATCTAAAATAGGCCGCGTGGGGACTCCGGGAAGGGGAGGGGTGGGCGGGGCCAGCCAGGAGTGGGATTTGGGGGTTCTCCAAACTGCACAGAATCTTAGCTAGGGGCTCTCCCGAACCCCTGGGAACCCTCAGCAGTCCAACCCCTGAGGCTACGTCCATCTATGCAATGGCAGATAATTTTGGGTTTTTTTTATAAGTGGTCCTTGACTTACGACCGCAATTGAGCCCCACATTTCTGTTACCAAGTTAAACACGTCCCATTGTGTGACCATTTCCTGACACAGCTTATTTTATATATTTTGTTTTAGAACATTTACATTGCCGCCCTAACTTGCACAGGGTGACTCAAGGCGGCTTACGGAAGTATAAAAAGACCATATAAAAGAAATAATAAAAATAATAAAATAATAACCCTCCACACATCCCACACCTCGGCGATACATTGTTGAGTGAATTGCTGCAGCTGTTAAGTTAGTCACACGTTGGTTAAGTGAATCTGGCTTCCCCCGTTGATTTTGCTTGTCAAAAGGTTGCAAAAGAGAATCGCATGCCCCAGGGGACACCGCAACCGTCGTAAATAGGAGCCTGTGCCAAGCGCCCTGTGAGAAAAGTCACAAAACACAACTGGAGACAGTAAACAAGAGCTTTATTGTTAAGCTTTTGCAAAAGGCAATTCTGTTCATGGCAGAAGACATCTTTCCCAGGAAGGCTGGGGGAATATATATATACAAGTTCAAATTTACAGTCTCTGCCCCTTTCCTGGGTTCACAATCTATCCAACTAGGTAATTCCCTACGCCACACCCATGGCGTACCACCTGTTTCCTTTTCTTTGGAAACCACCCTTGTTCTCATGGCATCTTCCTGTTACGTTCTTCCGAACACAATAAGTCATTAACAAACTTCCGTTAATGTCAGGGCAACCTAGTATTCCTTACCTGAAATCTCAAGCCAAATACAAACTCCCACTCCAGCCAAGGACATAATATTTATTAACTTTGCAGAATAACAAGTTATAAAAACATGATATGCATATATAAGCGTTCAGATATTTTTCTAGAAGGTCACTTTACCAACAAAAATGGAATCTCTTTGGTTCTATACTTTCGTAGGTGTAACAGGTAAATATATATTAAATATATATGTCATTTCCACATAGAACGTGCCCGAATTTTGATCACGTGACCATGGGGATGCTGCTGCAACAACGGTCATACGAGTGGGAAACGGTCATAAGCCACTTTATTTCGAGGCTGTTGTAACTTCAAATGCTCACTAAACGAATGGTTGTAATGTGAGGACCACCTGTGTTATTTTTATACCTCTTGATGCATCCCATTGTTTCAGTAACAGAGGTCTTTATGCAGCTAGTCCTCAAACTTTACAACCACAACTCAGCCCCAGATCGATGTTGCTCGGAGAGAAATTGGCTAAATGAGTTTTGTCCCATGTCACGACTTCCTTTGCCGCAGTTGTTAAGTGAATCAGTGCCTTAAACAAGCAACCTGGTCGTTGACATAATCCGGTTTCCCCTGTTGACTTTGCTTGTCGGAAGGTCGCCAAAAAGGGGATCCCGTCACCCCAAGGGGGCACGGCAACCCATCATAAATAGGAGTCCATTGGCAAAGCATCTGAATTTTGATCACTGTCAGGATTCCGGCAGTTACCCCCCATTTAAATCATGAGTCTCGAGCTGAACTTCCAAAACTTAAAAGAAGATTTATTAGGAGTAAACATGTCCGGCACTGCCTGTAGCCGACTCTGAGACACATCATTCATTGTCACCCTTGATCCTGGTTTTCCCCCACTCCCTGGGTGTATCGTAATATTCTCCAATGGGACACATCCATAGCTCAGAGTCATCCATCGTGCTCTCCAGTTAGATTTTTGCAGGGCAGAAACTTCGGTCACCTAGAAACTATCTTTGAAAACATTTATGGAATGCAAGCTGCCCACTGCTCCCCCTCCCTTTCTGTTGACAACTCTAAACAGACCATAGAAATAATTTAAGAGGCCTGGGATATTTCTCATGGCCTGGGATGCTGCAACAGTCGTAAATATGGAAAACAGTCCTCCGTGGCTGTTTTCAGTGCTGTTGCAACTTCGGACGGCCGCTAAGGGAACTGTTGCAAGTCGAGGACTTCCTGTAACCGTGTTTGGATGGAGGATCGGAATCCAAAGACTTAATGTTTCTTTTTTTTTTGCCCCGCCCCGAAGACGATGGCTCCATTCACTGGGAGAGGCACGTGAAGCCAGAGGCGAGCCAGCCTTTCTACTACCAGCCTCGTGCTCCTTCCGCCGAGGTGGAAACGGCCTCCTACGTACTCCTGACTTACCTGACCAGACGTCCTGCGCTACCAGACACAGCCTCCTCTAGCAGAGCTCTGGCACCATCCCAGGATGATCTGGCGGAGGCCACCAAGATTGTGACCTGGCTTATCAAACAACAAAATCCTTTCGGAGGATTCTCTTCCACGCAGGTTGGTGCTTCCCATCCGTGCGTTCGATACGTTGGAAGCCGGGAGCGTTTTGGGTTAGGAGAAGAGAAGACTTTCTGTCAGAGAGGTAGGGTGTTGAGCTGATAACAGAATACAGAGAATCAGAGTTGGAAGGGACCTTGTAGGTCATCTAGTCCAACCCCACCAGCCCAAGCGGGAGACCCTGCACCATTTCAAACAAATGGCAGTCCAATCTCTTCTTGAAAGTCTCAAGTGATGGCGCCCCCACAACTTCCGAGGGCAACTTCTGTTCCATCGGTTGATTGTTCTCCCTGTCAGAAAAGTTTCTCCTTATTTCCAGGTTAAATCTCTTCCTTGTTCAGTTTCCATCCATTATTCCTTGTCTGGCCTTCAGGTGCTTTAGAAAATAGCTTGACCCCTTCATCCTCTCTGTGGCAGCCCCTCAAATATTGGAAGACCGCTATCCTGTCTCCCCTGGTCCTTCTCTTCCCTAGACTAGCCAGGCCCACTTCCTGTAACCGTTCTTCATATGTTTTAGTCTCCAGTCCCCTAATCATCCTGGTTGCTCTTCTCTGCACTTTTTCTAGGGTCTCAACATCTTGTTTACAGTGTGGTGACCAAAACTGGGATGGAGTACTCTAGGTCAGGGGTCCCCAAGCACCGGTTCCCAGACCGGTACCGGTCCGTGGATCATTTTTTACCGGGCTGCAAAGCTTGGGCGCCGCCATCTTGTTTCGATGACGCTTCCGGGTTTTCAGTTGGAAAGCGGCGTTTGGGTGCTCGCGCCTTAGTTTCATCGAAGGGGGGGCGGTGGCTTCGAACGAAGAGCCGTCCCGATGGCGGTGGAGTCTCGCGTTACTCAGGTACCGGTCCATGGAAGAATAAATAATCGTGAAACCGGTCCCTGGTTCAAAAAAGGTTGGGGGCCACTGCTCTAGGTGTTGTTTTGGGTTGGGAGAAGGAAAGATTTTCTGTCAAGAGAGGTCGGGTTTTTGTGCTGGGTTGGAAAACGCACCAGTAGAGGGGAGTCCTGGACCCTACGACCGCGATCGAGCTCACAATTTCTGTCGCTAAGTGAGAAGTGCGTTTTTGCGCCCCGTTTCCCGGCTTTTCTGGGCTCAGTGGATCCCTCCCTGCCGTTGTTAAAATGAGTCGCGCCCCAGTTGCGAAGCGAATTGGGCCCCCTCATGGACTTGTCTTGTCGGGAGGTCGCTTAAGGAGAATCACGCGACCCAACCGACACGGCATCCGTCATAAATGTAAGCCTGACGCCTGGCTGGCCCCCACCCCCACCCCACCCCGAGCCTCCCCGAGCCTCCGTGTGCGCCCTGCAGTTTACCTGTAGCCAAAACTGGCTGCGTGGGGACTCCAGGGACAGGCGGGGTGGGCGGGGCCAGCCAGGAGTGGGATTTGGGGGGGGGGGTTTCTCTGACCTGCACAGGATCTTAGTTAGGGGCTCTCCCGAACCCCTGCGAACCCCCAGCGGCCCAGTTGCCCCTTAGAAAGTTTAATCTAGCATCAAAACCTGGGCCAGTCCTCCCATAGTCGGGTTCCAATATTTAAAGGGGGATTGGAACACCCAAGGAAGAGGTGTGTCAACCTGCTTGCCTTCAGAAATTGTGGGTGCCTGATCGCTGGAGATATATATATATATATATATTTTAAGAAGAGGTTTTTCAGGCAGCCACTTGCCTGAATTGGTAGGGTTGGACTAGATGACCTCCAAGGTCCCTTCCAACTCTGTTCTCTGTTATCCGAATTTTGACCACCTGCGATCATGGTGGATACCGCAACGGTCGTAAGTGTGAAAAATGGTCATCAGTTGCTTTCTTCAGGGATGGTGTAACATTGGACGGTCCTTAACCGAACTGTTGTCAGTCAAGGACCGCCTGCATTTTCCTGGCCCGACAAAACTGAGAAAACAATCAACTGACCGGATGACCGGAGGGATTGATATTCTCCAAAGCACCTGAAGGCAGGGCAAGAAGCAACGGATGGAAATTAATCAAGGAGAGAAGAAGCAACCTAGAACTAAGGAGGCATTTCCTGACAGTGAAGACCATTAAGCAGTGGAACTACTTGCCTCTACAAGTTGTGGGTGCTCCATCACCGGAGGCTTTTAAAAAGAGACCGGACAGCCATTTGTGCGAAATGGTATAAGGTCTCCTTTTTGAGTAGGGGGGTTGGACTAGAACAAGGGTCACCAACCTTTTGGACCTCAGGGACCATCAAACTCATGATTTTAAATATGGGGAAATCCCCCAAAAAGTCTGCAGGAAAATCCCCCACCCCGTTTTCCTACCGATCGATCTTTCTTTATTTGGGATCGCAGGATACCGTCTCCAGCTCCGTTCTCACGGGGGGAGAGAGAGAGAGACAGAGAGAGAGACACACACAGAGAGAGAGAGAGAGAGAAAGAGAGACTTTTGGCTTCATGCAAGGAAAGCAGCAGAAGCAGCAGAAGTCTTTCTTTCTCTCCCCCAAACTCCGCCAGAAATGAGTCTTTGTGAGATTTGTCATGCCGGCACAGCCTCTTGGAGCAGGAGGCCTTGCAGGGTCCCAAAGACTCATTTCTGGAGGAGTTTGGGGGAGAGAAAGAAAGACTTTTGCTGCTTTCCTTGCGTGCAGCCAAAAGCAGAAGAAGAAAGAAGCAGCTCGGTGGCCAGGTCAGGCGCGTGGGGCAAGTTCCTTCCTTCTGCTCTTTCTCCCCCCTCCCCTCACTACCTTATGTTGTTCGCAATGCAAGTGATGCAAGCGTTGTGTTCCCATGGGCCATGTGGGCAGTGCAACCTTATGTTCCCACGCAGCCTGGATTAATTGCTTGTGGGATGGATGCTTTGGGGGTGACATGTCTCTGTGGACCACCAAAATTTTTTCACAGACCATCAGTGGTCCCCAGCCCACTGGTTGATGACCACTGGACTAGATGACCTCCGAGGTCCCTTCCAGCTCTGTTCCTCTTTTCTCATCCTCTCATGAACTCTTGATGTGAAGAAAACATTGAGATCCACTTCTGGCTTTCTACCTACCGTTGCATAAAAACGATTGGGGAACCCGGGTATCATATTTGTGTTCTTAGGGGAAGAAATCACCCTCACGTCCAGTGGTGGGATTCAATTTTTTTTTTTAACTACTGGTTCTGTGGGTATGGCTTGGTGAGCGCGGCTTGGTGGGCGTGGCAGGGGAAGGATACTGCAAAATCTCCATTCTCACCCCACTCCTGGGAGAAGGTTACCACTGGTTCTCCAAACTACTCAAAATGTCCGCTACCGGTTCTCCAGACCTGGTCAGAACCTGCTGAGTACCCACCTCTGCTCACCTCCATCTTCTCCTTGCAGGACAGCGTGCTGGCCCTCCAGGGCCTCGCCTTGTATGCGGGTTTCACTTTTGCCAAGAACGCAGCCGGCACCACAGTGACCTTGAAGTCAGGTGGGAACAATGTGAGGGAATTCCACGTGGACAACTCCAACAGGCTTCTGCTTCAGTGCCAGGCCCTGCCCAATGTGCCTGGGGAATATACAACAGTTGTAACTGGGGAAAGTTGCATCTACCTGCAGGTGAGGTTCTCAGGGATTCCTTGGGAGAGAAAAGGCAGTGGCAGGATGCAGGAGTCTCCTGTTGTGGATCAATTTAATATATATTTCAATATGCTTATTCTACCCTATGACTATCATTAAGTGTTGTACCTTATGATTCTTGACGAATGTATCTTTTCTTTTATGCACACTGAGAGCATTTGCACCAAGACAAGTTCCTTGTGTGTCCCAACAACACTTGGCCAATAAAGAATTCTAGAATTCTATGTTGCCTATGAGCCTGGCTTCCAGGCTTCTTCATGGAAACAAAATAGAATATCAATAGCACATCAGGGGGTGGGTTGCTGGGGGCTCGCAGGGGCTCGGGAGATCCCCTAGCTAAGACTCTGCGGGCCTCAGAGATCCCCCAGTAACCTCAGAAAGACAAGCAGCAAGGGAAAGCTCTTAATAGGCTTAATTGAATTTCTGGGCATTCAGCCAAGAGCATTTCACACCTCGTCCAAGTGTTGCAAGCTAGATAAACAATCCACTCAGCCCTTGAAGGGAGAGCCATTGAGAAAATCAGATAACATAGCCATTAGCCTCTGAGGGGATTAATTCCCAAATAATAAGACTCACATAACTCACCAGAAACTCCACTTAAAGACTCCCTCTCACGGTCACTGCTATTAAGCCTAGTTTCAGCCAGACTATTATTTTAAGTGTTAAATGCACGAAAAAAAAATAAAGCAACTTTTTGGTATATTATCAGACCGGAAAAGGTTGAGCAACATGGATCTAGGGAACAATTCCACCTCGCACCCTTGAGTCTAGATGGGCCGAGGGGTCCTAGATTTCCTTGAGAGCAGCGGAAAATCTGGACTGGCTAATTCCCCAGTAAAGATGACCCATTAACAAAATATTCCCTCCTCAGACTACCTTGAGGTACAATGTGCTCCCACACCCGGAGGATGCTCCATTCGCACTGACTGTCAGCACAATTCCCGACACGTGTGTTGGGGTCAAGGCCCACAAGGAATTCGACATTGCAGTAAATGTCAGGTAATTCTCTCTTCCATTGGTCACAGCCGAAGGGGAACTGGCTGTCAACCAAGGGATGCCATGATCCCTATAACTTGCTTGCTAATCTAATCTAAAACAAATGTGATTTGTTTGTGGTCCCCATACATTGTGGGGAACCTAATACAGGTAGTCCTCGACTTACCACAGCTCATTTAGTGACCGTCGAAAGTTACAATGGCAATGGCAAAAAAAGTGACTTATGATCACGTTCCACAGTTACAACCTTTGTAGCGTCTGATCACAGGATCCAAATTCAGGTGCTTGGCCACTGGTTCACACTTATGACCGTTGCTGTGTCCCGGGGTCATGCGATCACCTTTTTGTGACCGTCTGACGAGCGAAATCAATGGGGGGTCCAGATTCACTCAACAACTGGGTTACGAACCTATCGGTTGCAGTGATTCGCTTAACAACTGTAGCAGAGAAATGGGGCAAAACTCACTTAACAAATGCCTCCCTTCACAACAGAAAATTTTGGGCTCAGTTGTGGTTGTAGGTGGAGGACTACCTGTAACGCCTTAGCACAGTGGTGGCTAACCTTTTTGGGCTCCGGTGCCAAAAATCATGTGCGTGCTTGCACTCACACGCTTGCGTGCCAGCACCCAGAAGGCAATGTACACCCCCAACGCCCCCTGCACATACACACTCAACCTCCCCCCCACCCCGGCCATCGCTCCTTTACCTGCACTGCGCCTCACAGCTGATTTTCGGCCTCCCAGAGGCTTGAAAAAAGCCTCTGCAGGCTTTGCAGGCCGAATAATAGGCCCGTTTCGTCACTTCCAGCATTACAGGAAGTGACGAAACGGACCTATTATTCGTCCTGCCAAGGCTTTTTTCAAGCCTCTGGGAGGCCAACAAAGGCCTCGAACCAGCGGAAAATCCGCTGTGAGGCGCGCACATGGGCAGTGAGGTAAGTTTGTCTGCAGCTCGCATGCCAGCAGAAATGGCTCTGCGTGCCACCTAGGCTTGCCATCACAGCCTTAGCAAGTGGTTTGAACTATTAAACTGTGATACGGCTTATTTATTTGGATATAGCGGTGGCCCCCAACCTTTTGGGCACCAGGGACCAGTTCTGTGGAGAAAAGTTTTTCCGCGGACTGGAATGGGGTGGTGGTTTTGTGTGCTGCTTACATCCCGCAGACGGGGCTTCACTTCTTTGTGTGGTCCGTTTGCTGGCATGCTGCAGCCTGGTGTCAGTCCTCGAACCGGGGGTTGGGGACCACTAGGTCAATGATGGCGAACCTATGGCATGCGTTCCAGAGGTGGCACGCAGAGGTATCTCTGTGGGCATGCGAGCCGTTGCCCCAGCTCAGCTCTGCCGTGTATGTGTGCACCTCCCACCGGTGAACTGGTTTTGGGGTCTGCCGTGCATGTCCCGGGGACAGGGCGCATGCGTGGGGGATGTTTGCATACTCACAGGGTGTGGGGTGCATGTGCAGGGGCCCCTGTAGATGTGGGGGGGGGGGGGGCAAGTGCATGTGCGGGGAACACAAGTGTATTGCATTTTTGGGATGCACGCATGCTTTGGGCACTCGGTGCCGAAAAGGTTAGCCATCACGGCCCTAGGGCCTTGATGGCGAACCTGTGGCACACATTCCACAGGTGGCACGCAGAGCCATTTGTGCTGGCACACAAGCTGCAGGCAAACTTACCTCAATGCGCATGCCTGCACCTCACAACTCATTTTTTGAGGTGGGCGGGCGGTTGGTTTGAGGCCTTTTTCGGCCTTTTTTGGGAAATAGCCTCTGCAAGGCTTCTCAGGCCGAATTATAGGCCTGTTTCATCACTTTCTGTAATACCGGATGTGACGAAATGGGCCTATAATCCATCCTGAAAAGCCTCTGGGAGGCCGAAAAAGGCCTCAAACCACCTGAAAAATCAGCTGTGAGGCGCAGTGCAGGTAAGGGGGTGGGGGGAATTGCACATGCATGCGTAGGGGGAATGGGGGGGGCGCAATGCATTCTGGGTGCTGGCTCGTGAATGCAGGCGCACCTGCAGGCGCATGCAATTTTTGGCACAGGATCCCAAAAAGGTTAGCCATCACTGCCCTAGGTTATAGTATGTGATACACACCAAACAAATGTTTTTTTCTTAATGGTGTGGTTATGTGAATCCAGCCACCTTATGCGCGAGATGCTTAACTGGGTGAAAGAAGGCTTTAGTCAACTCCTTCACCCATCTAGACATTTACTGTAATTCGCAGGGGAGTCAATTCTAGTTTAAAACACCTCCAGCAGTGCTTGGAGTTAAACACACAGAATGAATTACCTCACAAAAACAGCTGAAAGGTTAACCGTCCCATCCTTCTTTCTGAGGTAAAGTTGAAGTCCCAGGTGGCAGTCCTAGGTGGCTCCATGAAACCAGGGCTCCTCTAGGCACTCTACTCTATGCCTTATCTCCCGTATCTCCCTACGAAGATTGAAGTAGGAACGGCAGTAAGAAAGTCTATCCACGTTGTCTACAGTTGCCGCAATCATAATTGCGCCACCGCAGATATTTTGGGTGTTTCAGAAAGCAAGAACTTCCCCATGAAGATGGTGAGGACTCAGAAAGCAATGCGTGATTCTGTCTTGCCGGCACCCAGGGCTAAGTCAAGTGTCTGGGAGGAACCGATAGTGATAGTGATGCCATTTGAACATTGTCACAGCAACCTCATCTGGATAGACCTGCTCTCCAAGCCCTAATCAACCTTTAATGCAGAGAGGACAACGTTTGGTATGGGCAAATATAGGCTAAGTGGTGGAATCACATCAGATCACTGACATTCAGACATCCACAGACACACAGAGATAAATCTTGTTTACATACCACTTAAAAGATACAATTCAAAGTCTAGGAGACATCAAAGAGGAAGACACATTCCCGCCAAGACTGGCAAGACTGACTACCACACAGAAACAACCAGCATCCTTCCCTCCCCTCTGCACTGATGATGTTGCCTAGTATGGTCATGAAATGTCAGCAGGAAAACGCCAAACTGAAAGAGCGCAACGAACATAATTGAACAAATTTCATGTTCCAACCAGAGACTAGAACTGGATTGTCTTGGTAGAAACCCAAATGGGTGAATGTGGGATCAGGAATTAAAAAACTTCACACCCACCTTAACTGGGGCTGACATTGTTTCTTTTCCCTCTCGTTTGTCCAGTTACGTCGGGAAGCGTTTGGCCTCTAATATGGCGATTGTTAAAATCAAGATGGTCTCTGGATTTGCACCAAATAAGCCATCTGTAAAAATGGTAATGGACAATTTTTATATTAACCTCTTCTTCTTCTTCTTC